ACGGCTGAGTACCAGGTGAATTCAAGTGAAACAAGCAGTCTTAGAAATGACCGAGGCAGAAACATAACGGTACGATCGTGCGATTTTGCGCTAATCTTGAAGCAGTCAATTCGTTGAATGTATGGATTTTATTGCTTCACATTTTTACCTCATGCACATTTATTAGAGCAAAATTACCGCAAATTTTGCATATAGGAAAATGCTTACCAAAATAATTCCGCCGGTCTGGCCCGGTTCGCCTGGTTCACCTGGCGGTCCCGGCTCCCCTTGTCTGCCTGGTCTACCAGGTGGTCCGACAGGACCTGGAGGTCCTTCCAGACCTGCTGTGCCACTATCGCCAGGTGCTCCTCTCGGGCCTTTCGGACCTGGCTCTCCTGGACTGCCTGCTGGTCCTGAAATTTTAAACTTTTGCATTGCCTCAAATTAAAAAAATTTCGTATACCTTCATAATTACAGCAAAAATCGCAGCCCAAATTCATATTTCCTGCCCCGTTTTCACTTGCCATTAAAGGTGAGCGCATTTATAAGCTCACCGAGGATAGCAAATGTCAAAAGCAATCATCCGCTGGCTATGTGGTTCTCTCAATCGAGATCGCTTATAAACAAACTGACATTGTTAATCCCCCTCCTCCCTCCCGCCCCATCCTTCTTCCCGCCTGCTCCTGTTCCCACACTCCCCCTCCCCCTCCCGATGCATTTTAAAGCAGTATATTTGAACAACTAGTCCCGTAAAGTAGCATCCGAGATGATCATCCATGCTCAGCTCAAAAAGTTATGACATCCATGGTACCTGCAGCTCACAGGAACTAAATTCACAGGTTCCAGGACGAAACTGTTTCAGTAACTATTGTTGCACTAAATTTTTCCAAATCCACATTTCGGATGACCCTATTTGTTAGTTTTGGATTAAAAGATTATAAAAATTGTGAACCTTCTGGACACTCAAAACAGAAATCCTCAGGTCTTGGTTGTTCGTACGGGTCTGCATCTTTTCCATCAGTACCATCAACTCCTGGCGCCCCGTCAAGCCCATCGCGACCATCTTCACCTGGTGCTCCTGGCGGTCCCGGAAGGCCAGTTTTGCAGGAGCATCTGCTCCTGCCATTATTTCTGTCGCTTCTGCTTATAGTACTTGTAATGCCGTCAGCACTGTCTATATTATTATCGTTATTCTGTATTGTAGGGTCATCTTGATCCACGGCTGCTGCTACAGCAGCGGTAGTACCATACTCCGAAGCACCAGGCGCCGAATAGTCGACTACTTCTTCTCGACGTAGCCGTTCTGTAATTACAACAGGAATTTTAGCAAGTACCATCTGAATAAAGTCCTTTTCTCTTGGTTGCTGAGGTACCACTCGCTGTGCTTCAGGAGTCAGCATTCAAGAGGCTCAACATACACTAGTAACATCTCGAAATGGCTGCGAAGCCTTCCCAAAGTGGTTTTGTCGAGAGCCACTACTGAGCTAGTAATTTCTTCAGGGAACAAAACGAGTGTCGGGATCGCCAGCAAACTGGTCACCCCGCAACAGCGAATCATTGGTCAATGGGGAAATTGGAAAAGTAGCCAACTGCGCAGCTGGAGAACGGCACCATGAGCCGCTCAAAAATATTTTTTGTTAATCAGCGCTCACCATGGAACTTTTGTGAGGCGCTGCGATACTGGTCCCTCGGTATTTCCCATTGCTTCTTGAGAAGCTCTTCTGTTCGAGCATACTGTTTCCAAATCGAAGCTGTCGTTGATTTACAGAATTCTGCTTCAGCCTAACAATTTTTTCATTTTAGGAAATGAAGTTTTATGAGTAAGCATTTCATTAATTCCTCAGACGTGCTGTCGAGCTTATTTAGAAATTAGGGCTGGTTGTAAAATTCCGTGGACAATCCCTGACTAATTTCTGTTAGTGAACGCGAACACTCCATAATTCCTGTTTCTGAATGTATAACATTAGAAGTGAAGAAATTATGAACAGTATAAAGTTGAAAGATAAATTTCACCATATTTTACTCTTTTTGAGAGATCTGGATGCACTTGGAATCAGAACCGCTTGGACAGCCACTGTGGGCTTCCGATGCTGGTGATAGTTCCAGGTTACTCTATATCCAAAAACTTTGGATATAGAGAAACCATGTTGCATTGCTCGTTATTCATTAAAAGTGTGATTAATCTTGCCAAAGGTTGCCCAATATCCGCACTCGTAATCAGATTTTTGTACTGTGTTTTTTCAAAAGTTACTTGAAGTGTTGACTGTACACGAAGTAAATAGCCAAAAACGGTTGGAACAGCAATAACGGCAGTAAGTGCAGCAATTGTTGAGATGAAAACGCCAAAAAATGCAACACGACGAAAGGTTTCTGCTTCCCGGCTTTTCTGTGCTAAACTGCCGAAAATCTCTTCATCGATAGCATTCATCTGAAAAAAACTTTTTTATGAACCCACTCTTCATGATCGATACGAAAGAACAGTTGTGGCAATCGTTTTCGGTATAAATGCTATACAAATGCAATATTTAAATTATTTGTATTATTTGAATATCATAAAAACCCATTCTGAGTTCTCTGTCTTATCTGAACAGAGGAAATTGTCTGCGTGCCTTCTATGCATCTATCTTTTCGAGTTTTGGTGAATTCCATGAATTCAGCTCAAAAACTTGAACTATTTTTTTCTCAGTGCCTTCGTTTCTTGTAGAGCCGTAGATTTCTGATCTGATTACAAGCGAGGGGAGAGGAATCACTGAAACACCGACAAATCCAAGACAAACTGATTTTCCCAGTACCATACCGTACATTTTGGGCATTTAGAAAGTTAAATCATATGCAACCGCTGCCTTCGTCGTAAAAGGTATCACATTACAAGCAAATCTATAACCTTCAAAAACTGATTGTTTTTCAGCGGCGACTCTAATTTTTCAATACCACTTCTCCGTCCTTCAAGCCGATACATTCTTATTTTCTGTTCACTGGCCTAGCTATATTTTTAGAAGCAAACACTTTTCATGTCGTTCGAAATTAAAGCCCCTTTCCCTAATATCGAGTAGCATGGACTACACAGTGACATTTTGACAACTGAGTTAAATAATAACTCAGTAAAGGAATGAAAAAATCCACTTATATCTTGTTGACAATTGCTAGGCATCGCTCTAATCAGTGAGGTACTCGGCAAAAATAAGGCCACCACTCATGTGGTTTGTTTTAGGAAATACAACTGATAGTACTAGCTGAAAAGCATGCAACAGGCCCAAGAGCCAACTGACGTTTTTACACTGCACTATTTAAACGTATTTGAAATTTCAACATTTTTATGCGATGATTAAATCAAAAAAGCACAGCGAGATGAAACTAGTACCACTTTGAAACCGCAAATGGTGACTATAAAAAAGCATAACCTTGACAGTTTTTGATGCGCATCCTATTTATTCTGACTTAGGTGAGAATGAATAAAAAAAGAAAGCCGTTTTTTTTTTTCAAGCTTTAGCAGTTTTTTATGTAAAAATGAATTTTGCTTAAAAAATGAAGCAGAACTCGTAAACAGCTTGTATTATTTACGAATGCCTTTGTCTTTTAAGAGAATTGAGGCACCGGTGAGGCAGGAATGTCGGCGAGACGGGAGGAGGCTATTAAATATTATCGCAAAATTTTACATAATAAAAACGAATTTTCTTCAAAAATTGACCAATAAAATTAAATGGAAATTCGTCGGTGACCTCTTTAAATTAAATAATGAATAAATTGGTTTTCAGTTTGCAAGATTTTATCAACAACTGAAAAATCGACAAAATTTTGTGGATAATTACATGCACAGTCCTTTAATCAATCATGATTGATCCGAAAACAAATTTCAGCCATCCTAAGTCCTAATGACTCACATAACTAGAATAATTCGGGATTAGACAAGCCTGAAATTTTGGTGCTTTTCATGCAATAAATAACTCAAAAAAGGACCTATCCTAAGGAGACAAAAGCAAATTCCGTATTTTTTTTTTGCTACATTCATCAATGTGAGGAGCTCACACTGTTACCTGAATTTCAAACATGCTTCAGCACTGAAAGGAAGGGAGTGTAAAAAGAATATCAGAACACTGGAGAGATGAAAGAAGGAATTAATTTTTAGATTCCAAGATTTGTTTTCTTCGATCACTGTGACCTTATATAAAAGACTGTTTTTTTCTCTGTTCAACAGTTTTGTCTCACTTCACAAAGGACCTCTTTTTTTCGGAGAAATGGATTAAATTTCAAAGGGAGGGCACTGCTCTGGCTGTCAGAATTTCCGCAGTCTACCAAACTTGATATGAATGCAAAAAATGCGAGATGGATGAGTGCTGAAGTAGGAAAAACAGTGAAATTTGAAAATGCATGTAATCGGCGAGCAAAAAAGATTTCAGCGAGATTGCCCGGACAGCCAACGCGGTTCCTTGGATTTTATTGAAATTCAGCCGATTAGTTTTATCCATCACGTACTTGCGTTTTTCCTTTCACGGCGTAAACTGTAAAAGTTAAAGATGCATAGCAGGCAGTCAGGAGGCAGTTAGCATGCAGTACAAATACCGGCTAGCTTAGTCCTAGAGACTGCTTCAGAACAGCTGGCCCAAGTCTCCATTTTCTTCTGCATGAAACATGTAGGATATTAGATACATACCAAAACCGTTTGGGCTATCATTGTGGGTACTCCCTATCATTGATGTTACTGAGTTGCTCCCACACACCGAACGCAGCTTTGGTTTTGAGCTAGATACGTAAGAAAAAACAAGTGGCTTCATTTCCAAGGACCATTTTGACTGCAGAACTGATAAATGTCATAAATTTATGCTGGTTTAAAACAGCATTTTCCTCCTCATGAGTTTACTCCCAGAACAATGCAAGAAAGTCTTAAAAATCGTCATCAGCTTTTTTTTTTAAATTAAAAATTCCAGGACAATCGATGTGAAGGATTGATTTACAGGCACATGCTAAGGATTCGAAAGCACTATCATTTTGCTTCTAAGCAACATTCGGAAGAGGGAACTATTGGTAGCTTCGTAGAAGCCACCGATAACTTTGCAGCTAGCGGCCTCTACTAACACGTGGCTGCCACTCGGGCTAGCTAAAAGTACCCCCCATTTCTCACGGGGAGTAAACTCTTAGCAAAGTGTTAGGTGGGATTAATAAATGTCGTTTTTCCAGTGTCGAATCAATGATAGCTGCACTGTGAATTCCTTGTTTAATACCAGTTTTTTGGTTCGAGATTGCTGTTTTGTTGGAAACAACACTGCGCGCTCTGTCCACTTCCTTGTCATCGTTCAGCCAGTGGTCAATAAACACCATCTTTGCTGCATGTATTGCATATTTTTGATTTCTTTTTAAAACTGGATATATAGTAAAAGAAATGATAGATTGCATGTGGACAATATCTATACTAACTCTCATTTTCTTCCCTGTGGACAAAATGGTGCCACTTTTGGACACTTCTTATCACTTGCCCTTGATAACAAGATTAAGCAACAAAAATTGAAATATGCGGTATTTTCATTTTAGAATTTCTTTGAAAATATTTTGTTTTACTGTAGCTTCTCGCTAGAATCCCCTAAAGAACTCTAAACTTTGATAGTACAGTTAATATGTAGAAAGCATAGTGAACTGCGCCAAGGTTGCTAGCACGATAAAACGTTTTTTTCCGCGGTTTCGTAAAACATTAAGATCGTTACCAGTATGAATGGTCGATGCTTTACAAGTCAAAATGTGCATTTCCCAACGGCTTTAGGCTATGAAAGTGCAGTTAAAGAGGCGAAAAAATTAGCCCTCAGTATTTTCTGTACAAATAATTGATGCCTAATTAGTTTGCTTCTTTAAGCTACATTTTGTGTAGTTTGTACACAAACGTTTTTCGGCAATGCAGAATCGAAAGGAGCTTGAATTGAAAGCACAACAGATGCGAGCGGTAAGCATTTTCATTTGCCAGGGTTTTCCTTTGGAACAATAATTCTGATAATGCTTAGCCAGTAAGCTGATGGTCAGCAGCACTTATGGGCAGAAAAGCTGAAACGTCGTGACTTTCGAGGGGATGGTGCTTGTAAGGAATGTCGATTGATTGGATAAAAACCGGAATCAAACTGTTCAAGACATAAGAATTTAAATTGATTGTGTTGATTGAAAATTCTAAAAACAATTACAGTTAAAAAGGATATTTTATTTTAAAAAGAAATTAAAATTTCTTGCTTATTCGTTTATTTCTTTCTGAGGGGAGGAGTAGCAGCATGCTGCCAACAGCAACTATTCACTGGTAAGGCTGTTCGAGGAATGCCCTAAGAAGCAAGCTGAAGATTTCCTCTATAAAGATAGGGTTAAGTGCTCTTTAAATGTGGCTAAAATGAATCTACGAGACAAATTTGTTCGCAGTACCTTAGAAAGAAATGCATATTTTATATTTTCCTAATCAGTAGGAGAAACTGTCGCGGTTGACGAACCGTAACTTTCAAGATGTGGTGATAACGTAGCATATGCCATTAGAAACATCCCGAAACGGCTAAACCCTTAATTGTCAGGTGTTTCTGCCTGGGCATAGCGTACAGTTGATAATCCCTTTCGGAGATGAAAAGAACGTTGGGACTGACAGCAGCACAACACAGCTAGAGGATGCAGCACTGGTCAAAGCAACCGGAAAAGTAATTAGAGCACCGGGTAACTTGTTAGAATAAGTGCCTTTTCATTCCGAATAAAATAAAAATTAAAACAAAACAATTTGCAGGTGGCACTTTATTCCGTGATACTGGGTACTGTTGCTGTAACACTGAGTGTTATTATCGTTCCATTCCTGCATTCTCTGATCAGTTCATTGGATGCAAATGTAAAGGTACTGCAAATGATCACACTGAAATATATATTAACTCATCTGATCGTAAATTCTCAAATTACAGCTACACTTACAAAATACCGCAATCCTACACTTTGGATATGTGCCAAAGTTTCTAATTGTTACTACGTAGTATTCACAAATCCGCACCTTCACTTTTGGTACTAAACGCGTAGATTGAGCTACCAGTTTGGCAAGACACGTTTTGGTCAAACTGGCAGCTTCTTTTAGAACAAGCACGCAGACATTTGCACCCCT